ATATATATATATATAGAGGGAGAGAGAGAGAGATCAAGAGGAAAGGGGAGTAGTGGTGCAAAGAAGGAGGAGGAGGAGGAGGGGAGTGCAGATTTCTGTGCGGCGTTGCTTTCAGTGCCGCTACTGCTGCTTATGCCGCACAGCAGGGTTTTGTCGGAATGTGTGTTTCCTCTTGATCATGGTTCTTTGGTTTGTTTTGCTTTGTGCGTGTGTGTGTGCTTCATTTTCTTTGCGTTGAGCTCTTTTTCCTTGTTGAATCCCTCCTTTTGTTTTCACGCTCGCGCCGTTTTCGCGACTGTTTGTTTCCTCGTTGACGCGCCCATGCCCCACCGGTCTCTCGCGCGCCACACACACACACACAGATACATACACAGAAGCTGGTGGTGCGAGAAGACTGGGGAATGCGTGCGAGAAGAGTGACGCTGTAGCCGTGCAAGGGGGAAACGGCATTTGCCTATGGCGTCTTGTCGCTGGTCGTCGTTGTCGTTGTTTTTTTATTGCTCCTCTCGTGGTGGCTCTGATTTTTTGTTTTGATGGCGGGCGCCAATCCTTTCGCTGCTGGCTGTTGTGGCCGACTGTGCCTGCTCCCCCTTCCCCCTCACCCCTCTCTCAGGACAGCAGGTTAGAGTGGAGGGTTGCGGCGAAGAAAAGAAGGAACAAGAAAAAAGACGGTTTGCGGGATCGTGACTGCGGTGTGTTGTGGCGCGTTGCGAAGCTGCGGCTGAGCTATGGAGCTGGACTCAATCAAGCTGCAGATGCGTGAGCTGCAGCGATACTACGACGATGACACCAAGAGCGATGATGACATCATCTACGCTGTGTACAACTGGGTGAAGAGTGCACACGTCGTGGCGCAGTTGCTGCTGCTGGAGGGCCGCTTCCCCGAGCTGCGGCGCTGCCTCGACCTCTGCCGACAAGTCCTGGAGGAGCAGCACGTGGAGGGCGGCGGCCGCACCGTTATTCAGGGCGCCACCGGTGAGGACCGCCTACTCATGAACGCCCTGCTGCTGCGCACCACGCAGCTACAGACACAGTACGAGGAGGCGCGCAAAAAGAGCACAGGGCGTGACACGCAGTACTACATCCGCAAGCTCCTGCGTACCGGCGAGGACGAGGCGGCGCGCGGCAGCTTTAAGGGCGTCGAAAAGCGACCTGTCAGTCCGCCGGAGCGCGGCGTCTCATTCGGCCGGCGCACACGACTCAACCGCTGGAAGGTGCCGCCGATCCTGCCGGCACTCGTCACGCAAAGTCAGCCATTTTTGCGCAGCGCTGCCGATGGGTACGGCGACGTGTCTACTGACGCTCGCGCGAGGCGAGCGGAGGCGCGGCGGTTGACTGATGAAATGGAAGACCAGGACGACGCTGAAGCGCTGGCTGGCGATGCCGCAATGACTCCTGCTGCTCCTGCTATTCCTGTTGCTGTTGTTCCCGAGGCACGCGGAGTGACGGCGAATGCTATGCCATGTGCAGAGCGAACCGAGCCACCCTCAATCGAGGCGGAGGCATCGCGTGTGCGCCCATACACGCTGCCAACCCTCAAAACGAGGGCAGCAACAGGACGAAAGCTGTCGCCGGGGTGCGTGAGACTCGTGCGACCGCGCTCGGCGGAGCTAGGCAGCGCCACGCTTCCCTCAGGTAATGTCATGTACCGCCTCAAAGAAGACGCGGGCGCGTACGTCATGAAGACGGCGATTGCCATTAAATCAGCGAACGATACAAAAGACCATGCAGCAGCCCTCATGCAGGCTCTCCACGATCGAGCATCTTCTCTCTTGCAGCGACAGCACCCCTCGACAGACAACCTCAACGGAACCGACATGGGGAGGGAAAGCGCGGCTCAGGATCGGGATCAGAGCGGCGACGTGATGACTGAGAATATGTTTGTGAAACTGCCGTCCTACAGTTCCACGTGTAGTGTGCTCTCGAGGAAGAGTGCATTGTCAGCAAAGAATCTCCATCAAGGCGTGCCGTCACCGTTGAAGTCGCCAAAAACGGCAACGAAGGAAAGTGAAAAGAGCACGTGCACTTCTACTCCGTTTCAACGTGTGGTTGCTCGGGACACAGCAACAGGATGGCTATCCGAGGTGTTGAGTGACGACTCCTGCAGGAAGCAATGGACGGACACCGCAGATTTGACCTCATCCCTCTCGTGTGCGGCGCGAAAGCAGCTGGAGGAGGTGTACAAGAGTTACCGGCAGAAAAGAGTAGAACTGAGCTCTGCCGTTGGGGAGATGCGCTTTAAGGCGGCGGATCACATTGGCCTCTTCAAGCCACAGGAACGAGTGGTGCAGGTGGAGGACACAGCCTTATGGAAGAGTCGTCGCAAACTTCATGCGGCAACTAGTGAGCGGGGGGCTGTTTTTGTGTCACCGGCGTTGGAGTCGCGTCTGCTTCCCGTCACAGAAGTGCTGGATGCTGAGTCTATTTTGAACAGCAGTGGGGCATTTGTGGGGGGTGCGCCCACACCGACGGTGAAGATGGCAGCCGGCAGCCGTGAGGTGCTGCCTGTGGAGGGCATTGCTAGGCTGGACAACGGGGAAGTCAGCAACACCCGTTTTGAGCAGGAGCTGGTACCCACCATTCCAGTGACCAGCGTCACGACCACGGCGTCCAACGGAGGTCGGATAGCGACGTTGACGGATGAGAAGGTGACTCCCTGGCTTGATGGGAAAAAATCTAGCGACTTGATATCTGAGGAGACGCTCTCGACGGCAAAGAGCGCTGGCCTACCCCCCACCTCAGCACAGCGACGTCTCACGATGCTTCAGGGGTCTATTCACATTGCCTTCCCCGATGTGCACTCCCTTGTGGTTAGGCGGGCAGAAGAGCAAGTGGAAAAAGAGAGACGCCTCACAAAGTGTGGCGGTATTCTGCCCGTGCCTCCACCGTCAGCGTCTCCGCCTAGAGATCCTGCTGCAGTGACTACTGGTGGTGGTGGTGCGCCGCGTCTCTCCACATTGGAGACGGTTCGAGGTGCTCTGAATCGTCTCAAGCAGCAGAACCCTGTCCTTTGGACGCCACAATTGCGCGCATTACCACGGGGTAGTATAGGCGAGACACACAGTTGTCTCGAAACGGAGCCCACTACGCGCCGTCATAGTGAGGCGACGGAGATGCCGCAGTTGGTCTTGTTCCTCTCCTTGGATGAACTTCGTCGAGAACCGGACTGGACGTGCATCGATGCTGCGAGTTTGAGCATGTGTCTTGTACTACACAAGGCGGCGGTGCGGGTGCAGTGTCTTTGCCGCAGTCTGAGAGCCAAAAATGAGCGCAAGCGCCGCGCCGCCGCGGTGGAGGTGCATTTAGTGGATATGTCCAAGTGCGAAGAAGGCGCCATCACCATTCAAAGGTACGTGCGCCGATTTCTCGCCCGGCGATTGACACTGACGATCCTACTGCGTCTTAGCTACCACCGCGACCAGCAGGTGACGCTAGAGGCAGCCGGCGACGATGCGGCACCAGAGAATGTGGCTCCTTTAGGGCTGCCGAGTGCGTTGGGGATTCAGAAGGTGTCTGGTACCACCGTTTTCCAGGAGAATCACGACGCAAGTCGCCGGTTCACGTCAGGGACGCGCCTCTCGTCCTCTGCAAGCAACCTGCGGCAGCGCAGCCTGCAGAGCACGCCGACGCAGACGTTCACGGGGCGGTTGTACGCACTTCCGGTCAGGGGCAGCTGCATGCAGACTACACGCCTTGGACGGCTGCGCCGCATTCAAGAAAGCATCGCCGCGCGTGTTATTGTGCGAGCCTGTCGCGTGTACATGTATAGTAAGCTGTCGAAGTGGAAACGTGAGACGCATGCCCTAATACAGTTTGTCACCGGTCAGCTGTCTGCGGCGGAGGCGTTCGGTTCTCTTGGGGCCGGCGGCACAGCGGCATTGCAAATATTCCCGCTGTCACCGGAACGCGTTACGGGCGATGTCATTGCCGCCTGGGAGGCACGCACCGCGGAGGCGCGGCGGCATGGGGACTTGATGACGCCGCTTGAGCCGGTAAAGCTGTCGGAGTTGCGGCGCATCTTACAACAGCGTCACGAGGCGGAGGAGGCAGAGCTGTGGAAGCGGCAGGAACTGCGACTCCAGGAGGAGGAAGAGGCACAGCAGAAGCAACGCGTGCGAGTGGATGCAGTATTGCTGCTGCAGCGCTGCACACGCGGCTACCGGGCGCGTTGCTGGATCCTCATTTACCAGCAGAAGTTGCAAGGGCTGCTAACGCTTCACCACCGCAAGGCGGAGCTGCTCGATAACGCCTCGCTCGGTATGACACATCCTCATATTGTAAACGCCAACGGGAAGTTTTCCCTCGCTGCTTCATTGGTGGACACGACGGCGTATTCAGAGGCCCATCCAGTTCCGCCTCATGTGGCCGACGTCATCATGAAAGGCCTTCAGAAGCGCCACCCCAGGTGGTTTGTGCGAGACGTGGATGCATATCGCAAGAGATTGGAAGCAGTTGGGTTGCTGCAAACGTTCTTGCGATGGCGTTCCAGCTTGAATGTTCTGGCTGATCACTTCAGTGATGTCAACGCCACGTTGATTCAGCGCAGGTGGCGCCTCCTCCTCAGGCGTCGTGAGCTGCTCGACACGCAAAAGGCGGTGCATATGATGGAAACTCTAGAGAGCATGGAGTATTGTGACCACGATGCAATCATGTAAAGTTGGCAACATACCTTTCGGTTATAACGTCCGTACTTGATGGAAATCGGCGTTTTGTTTTTTGTCTCTGTGCTTGTGCGATGCTTGCTTCGTAGGCTTGGCGACCCTCAGCGAGCGAGCGAGAGAAAGAGGCTGAGAGATGTATGCTTGCGTGTGTACTTGAAGTGCCATGTATCTTTGGCAGCGCCGCCCTCACGCTGCTGCTGCTGCTTTTGCTGTGTTTGCGGCATCCTCCGTCTCCTCCCTGTGTTGAAATGCCGGAGGTTTTTTTTTTTTTAAGAGTGGAGGCGGCGGAGATGTACGAGCAGGCGCTGTCGAGCTCCTCTGTGTTTGTTGGAGGCCTAACGCCGCCTCAGCAAACTGACGTGTTCCTGGCGCACCGCAACAGCGCGGGTGCTTCGCCGGAGTACAAGGCGCTTCGCGCAGCGTTGTGCGGTTTGAGTCGCTCATCGCTGCGTGGAGCCGGTGACCTCCACAGCGGTGTCGATAGCGGTGGTGGTAGTGGGAGTGGTGGTGGTGGTGGTGCAATTTCAGTCGCTGCGGCCCGCCATTTTCTTCGTGTGTCGCACTTCGATGGGTGTGGCGTGTCAGCCATCCCCACACCGCCTGTGCCGACCGACCTGATGTTCACCGCTCTGACGCAGCGCAGGCAGTGTTAGCAGATCGGTTGCTGTTGTTGTTTTTTCTTGCTGATGTTCTTTCGATGTGACAGTATGAGGTGTGTCTTTCTCTCTCTGTGTGAGTGTGTGTGTGTTTCTGAGCTGTAGACACATTGCTGCTCCTGCCCGCTTCTTCGATGCCTGTTGTTGTTGTTGTTGTTGCTGTGCCACTTGTATTGTTTGTCTTACGCCCCCTCCATTCATTTACGCTTCGTGGCATCGTACTTCAGCGGGAAGGGGAGGGAGCTGAGAGACCACGAAACGACGAAGCAAAAAGACGGAGGGAAAAGACCCAGGAAGGATTGCTGCTGTCACTGGTGCTGCCGCATGCATCGCAGGACGCTGTGGCGGCTGCAACACACGGCGCAAAACCCGCCGGTGGGCTCCGCCAACATTCCCTCACCGTATGTGACGGAGGGCGGCCACGTGCCCATCTGGTCCATCGTCAATGGCATCGTGCAGAAGCGCAACTGGGTCTTTCGCAATCCCGAGTGGTGTGACCTCTGCAAGGAGCCGGTGGCGCTGTGGGTGAATCATCACGGCCGCAAGGACCATGCACTGATGGACATGCACTACACGCAGATGGTAGAGTTCCCGCGCCGGTGGAACCCTGAGGAGGTTCTCGCAGTGTTCCTTGACGAGCTGCAACTTCCCATTGAAGTGTACCAGCGCTTCTACACCGGGTATGAGCGGGGGCACCGCACCGAACTCTACGCGATGCTCGTCGCGTTGGAGGAGGCGAAGATGCTCTACTTTGGCGAACCACGGGACACGTACCTGCACCGTATGCAGGGCGGCCTGCGTGGGATGGACCATCAGGGCGCGTTGGTGCTGCACCGCTACATCCTCGGCCCATTCATGCGGCTCTACCCCAACGGGCACATACAGGACTACTCTAACCTTGTGGACTTCGTGACGTGTGCGTATAACATGGAAACGGTGTACGACCTGTGCGGCTTCTATACCCTCGACAAGGTGGCTCTGAAGGCGGACTACAAAGCAAGCTCGCCTGCTGCCTTGGGGCTGGGCGGCATTGCGGTGCACTCCTCCGCCACGCATGGGTTCGTGCAGCAGCCGACGGATCAGCAACAGCAACAACAACAACAGCGAAGTGGGGCGGGGGGATCCGGTGGGAAGAGTGCTGCTGACAAGGACGAGGAAGCCTTCTCACGGAAGGCGGTGTTTGTGCGGCAGCTGCTGGGCCAGCTGCGGTGGCTGACGTTGCCCGGCGAGGAGCACCCCGCTGGCTACACGTTTCCCCCGCACTTGATGCTGCTTGGTGAGATCTGCCTCAAGTCTCTCGTGGTGGAAATTATAGCGGCGCGGCTGTGCGAGTACATGGTGCGTGTAGAGCCCGTGTGGCGCGACCATGGCTTTGAGCGGGTGAAACTAAACGTGAGTAAACTTGCACAGTCGCGGAGTGACGTCCTACCGGAGCCAGTGAAGTTTTTCTACCGCCCAATGTCCCCGCACATGGACGATTTTTACAGCACTAGACGGGGCGTGCTCGACGAGACACTGGAGAAGGCCGCGGCTGCGCCGTCAGTGAGCAAGCACGTATGACAGCGAAGCGAGGAGGGACAAAGGTCGAATGCGGCCTATTTTTTTCCCCCTTCTCTCACTGTGGGTGTATGCGTATATACGTGTGTGTGTGTGTGTGTTTGTGAGTGAGTGGGTGGGTGGGTGGAAGAGAGGGAGTTACGTCGGTGCATCTTTTCCATGCTGCTTCACGATCTGTGGCGCGAGATCCTTTCAGGAGTGTCCTCCCGCCACTTCTTCTTCGGCATCGCTGGGGTGTTGCGGTGGGCCACTGGTAAGCACGCCGCGTGTGGGTGCCTTGGCTTGATGGTGGTTTGTATGCCGTGCGCGGTGTTGTGGTTCTTACTTGTTGCCGAAGGTTCACTCTTATTTTCCGTGTGTGCTGTTTGCTTTAATAATAATAATTAAAAAAGAGCCAAGGCGAAGGTGGGCGCCGCTTCCAAGTCGTTATGCTTTCATTAACGATGTATGTGCGGTGTGGGAAGCTGTCCCTTAAAGCCCTGCGCCAGTCAGCCGCTGTGCGTCGGCGTGTGGGACTTGTCATGCCAGCACTCCAGTCGAGGGGAAGCGCCGGCAAGCACGTTGTTAATCACGACGCCGCTGCTGCTGTTGCTACCAGTGCTGGTGGTGCGGCTACTGATGTGAACACGAGCACACAACTCTGCTCTCACGGCAAGTCGCTTGACGTCGGGACTTCTGCTGCTGCTGCTGCTAGTAGTAGTAGTAGTGGTCGTGGTCGTGGTGGTGGTGGTGGTGCCGAACTACTGCTGCCGTTCGCAGACGATGTTTCGGAAACCGTCTTGACGCCACCACCCCTGCGGCGCGTGGCCCGCTGGTTCTTTCCCGGCTTCACGCACGAGGAGAAGCAGAGGGCGACGACAGACGTGGCGTCACTACAAGGTTCAGCGGCGGCGCCCACGCTTGCACCACGGCGAGAGAGTGGGTCATCGGCACCCGTGGCAAACGTCCTCATGGAGGCACCAACAGGAGCAACGCCTTCAAAGAGTGCAGCCGTGTCAGCAACACCAACATCAACACGAGCTGCCGTACACGGTCCTGCGCATGAATCACACGTGAAGGAGAATGCGCGTGAGGGCGTGCCGGAGAGTCCATCCACTGGCAAAGCAGTAAAGGCAGCTTCGGCGAAGGGCCGTTTGGATGATAGCCTCCCGTCTGCCTTCTGCGACCACGTGCTGCAGCGCAACCAGCGCCTCAGGANTCGGCGAAGGGCCGTTTGGATGATAGCCTCCCGTCTGCCTTCTGCGACCACGTGCTGCAGCGCAACCAGCGCCTCAGGAGCATTCTGGTGAATGCGCTGGGCAGCGAGTTCGCGAAGGCTGGCGGCCACAACGACGCGCAATGGGTGAACTCCTCCGCCATGGTGTCGGCGGCGGCGAAGCGTGCGATGGGCCTCCGCCGTGTCTCGCACAAGTTGCTTATCTCCTGCACACGCGGCTACGCCAATGCGTGGGACTGGGTCGACATCACCGCACACCCAACAGCTGCGCTCGAGGAATACCGCGGTGCACTCTCGCAGGTGTTGCTCGACATCGGCACGCACGAGACGCTCGTAAGCGACGCGTTGGAGCCGATGCTACTGCCACAGTCTACTGTCATACGCGGCTGTCATTGCCTCGTCGTGCGGTACGCGGTGGACGTCGCGAGCACGTCAATGGATAGCTTTCAGGATCTGACGAACCGCTTCACAATTCTCGTGACGAACACGCGGGTGATTACGATTCACCGCACACACTGTGCATTTGTGGAGGACCTCAAGCGGGCCTGGCCGCAGGTGATGGCTGAGCACGGCAAGCACGGGAAAACGTACCTCCTTAGTCTCTTTGTAAAGGAGTCAGTGGACACATTCAATACAGCTCTCACCCGTTCCATTGTGGAGTTCGACAGGTACGAGGCGAGTCTCTTCTCGCCGGAGCGGCACCGGTCAACGTTGGCGCGGGAAATATACCACATCAAACGCCGAGCATCGGTGTACGCACGCACTCTGAACCTCATTGGCGATGCCTACACGCATGTATGCAGTGCACTTCCCATTGCACCGACCGATGTGCAGTTTCAGGATGTACAGCAGGATATAGCGCATGTCAAGTCACTCTCTGAAGAGCTCAACGCCAATGCAGACTCGGTACTGCAGCTTCTCTTCCAGCTCTCATCCTATCAACTGAATGAGCTGATGCGTGTGTTGACGATATTTAGCGCTTTCTTTATCCCCCTTAGCTTCATTGCCTCTATTTATGGCATGAACTTTACTCACCTGCCCCTCCTGGAAGACGTCTACGGACACATGTATTGCTTTGCGTTCATGGTGGTGGTGGGAGGAGGGCTTGGTGTGTGGTTTAAGTTTAAGCACTTTATGTGAAACCAAGACGGCTTTATCGTTTCACCCACCCAGCCACCCACCCGCCCACCCACATACATTGTGTACTACATGCATCTTTACTATGCCTCTGGGTCTTGTCGGTCTGTCGGTCAGGAGAAGGCTTGATGGGCGAATGTCAACCTCTGTGTTTTACTCTCTCTCAGTGTTGCGTTTTGTTTTCGGTTTTCTTCCATTTGCAACAGCGACCACTTTTTTTGGTCATCTCGTTGTTGTTGTTGTTGATGTTGTTGTTGTTATTGCTGCTGCTTGTTTTGTTATTATTATTCATATTGGTGCCAAGGTGTATAAGCCTGTTTGAAGTTGAGGCGTGTTGCTTCCCTCCCACGTCGCAGTTTGATCGTTAGCCACATGCGACCCCCGCACAAGCAGCCGTTAGCAGTATCACTACCGTCACTGCACATCTCCTCGTGATGAGAGGGTGGGGTGGAAGTGTAAAGAGACGCACAGGGAGCGAATAGCTATCTATTGCTATTAATGCTATTTCACTATTGGGATTTTGTTTACTCCTTGATTCCGCTTCTCTTTCGCTGGCCGCGGCATCGGCAGTCGTGTGTGTGTGTGTAGGAACGAGTGAGAGAGAGAGAGAGAGAGCGTTGTCCTTTTAGCAACACAACCGAGGCAAGTATGGAACCCGCGGTGAAGGAGAGTGTATCCCGCATTCCGCTGCTCAAGACAAAGGCCGGCCCGCGCGACGGCGAGAAGTGGACGCAGCGGCTCAAGGAGGAGTACATGTCGCTCATACAGTACGTGGAGAACAACAAAGTGAGCGACAACCACNGGCGAGAAGTGGACGCAGCGGCTCAAGGAGGAGTACATGTCGCTCATACAGTACGTGGAGAACAACAAAGTGAGCGACAACCACTGGTTCCACCTCGAAAGCAACGAGGCCGGGACACGTTGGTACGGCACGTGCTGGACGTACTACAAGAACGAGAAGTATGAGTTCAAGATGAACTTCGACCTCGCTGTCACGTACCCACAGGCCCCTCCGGAGATTGCGCTGCCGGAGCTGGAGGGGAAGACGGTCAAAATGTACCGTGGCGGAAAGATCTGCATGACGACGCACTTCTTCCCACTCTGGGCGCGCAACGTCCCGTACTTCGGCATCAGTCACGCGCTTGCACTCGGTCTGGGCCCGTGGCTCTCGGTTGAGGTGCCGGCGATGGTGGAGGAGGGTGTGCTCAAGCCCACTGGCGCAGCGGAGAAATAAGTAAGGGAGAGAGGTGTGTGGGCGTGTCGAGGCAAATGTGCGGGTGAAGGTCGTTTGCTTTGTGTTTGTGTTGCGCCCTCGTATCTGCTTTGGCGGGCGTGGTGCGATCGATTGGTGCACACCCGTTTGTCGCCTCCCTGTGAGTGGGACACTCCTGCCGCTCGCACTCTCTATCTCTCTCTCTCTCTCTCT